AAGCTTTACATATAAAGAAAATACATAGCATAGCGCACAAAGGGAAGGCCCGATGTGGCCTGGGTAAGTGAATGGAGAAGTTTGTCGAGACGATCGCGCCTTGTTTGTTTTTGACCGAGTTTCGTCGTACTCTGAATGGTTCCTTCATTAAGTTGTCAACGATTGAGGCTCATTAAATTTCATTAGTACTGCGTTGCGGACGCGAACGGCCGACGACTCCTGGACGGATAATCTCCAGCTGTCAGGCGCTAATGCGTTTTAGAGTACGTAATTTGAACCGGCCACATCGGTGGTAATTAAAGCTGTAATTAAGCTAAGTGATTATTAGTAATGGCGAGCACGAGATACGAAACGCTCTCTTCATTACGTATTAACGTTTCAGGCGTCAATGCGCTTAGTGTTCTGGCGTCACTACTTTTTGTGCACCTAACTTTAAATGGACTTTTAATACTGCATTTAAGATACTAAGTACATTTAATGGCTGTCAAATAAATTACATTTAGTTTTCGGGGCATAAAAAAGTTAGATAAGTGTGTAAATATCAACGAAAAAATTTAATTACAATTCCGATCGTGCTTAGGTTTCCTTTGAAAATTAGTATTACTACATGTGTTAATGTCTTTTGCTATTTTTCAAACTTTTAAAAACATTCCCGAGTCGTTTCATACGTTCTCCACGGGAACAGGCGCAGTAATCTGTTTGTACATACTAGTGTATGTTTCGGATTTCAAATAAAATGTAATTTAGCGTACACAGGAGAGACGAGTGAAAGCTTTACGTCACTTCAATTTTGTGTTAAAAGTAAGTGTGCGCTCAAGTAAGCCGGGCCTGGGGTAATGTATTCCCATATATACATAAGTGAAAACATTTTAAGAAGCTTCGCGGACCCACTGCATCACCCCCGGGGTTAGGGTCTAAAAGCACTATCTCAGCGCCAAAGCCTTACAACTCTTCTCAAATTCAACTTACTTTGCTCAGTGCGGAGGAACCCGTATATGTTTAACTATAACACAACCATCTTGATACTTTATATTTATGCACACATTAATTTTTTCCAAGCTTTGTTCGACTAAGATGTGACTGGGTTATAAATAATTAAACAAAAATTAGTGGCACATAATTTTTAAGCCATTTATTGTTTATTTGCACATATTCTTTGCATAATATAGAATACGTTTTACTTTTAATACCAATGCAACATTGATGTAACAGAAAATTACATTTGTTAATTTCAAGATAAACTAATTACAAGAACGAAGAGGTTTTGTCATTTTTGTAATATTATACATATTTAAAAATATTTTTTTAAAGTATCAAGAAATTATATCGCCACACATATATTTAACGAATTCATGCTCAATATTGCGCATGACATCGAAGACGTATTGCCATAGACTGCTTTGTGGCAGGTGGTTGCGTTCGCAAGTGAGTGTTGCTGTCCATAGATCCGCGACATGTTACCTTGCTTTCTCCCCTCCCTTGCCTTGCCCTAGTACAACGCATCGATATTCACGAAAATCCCATTCGCGTACCCACGCTCGATTTCGTACAAAATAAATTGAAAAGTTTAGCGAGTTTAATTCCATCTTCCCCGGCCACCGTCACCGACGTGGCGGAAGCGAATCTCGATGTTTTGTAATGGAGCTTTTTAAAATGGAAGTCGAACTTTTGTCAGACACTTTTAGCCGAGCTCGGGATACATTTAAGCTTTTTAACTTTTCCACTCCGGTAATGTATACCACTCTCGCCTAACGTCGCGTCGTCGAGGTGTCGCATCATTTTTTTTATTCGAACACTCGTAATAGGTAAGTTTGTTTGTGCGAGTTTCCGACTCTATCAAATATACTCGCAACATGAATACATTAATAGACAGATAGACTTCCTTTTAAATTAATGTACGGTTCCGCTTGGCACTCCGGACTATTTTATAAATTAACCTACAAAGTAAACATACGCCTACTACTAGTATGCGATCCATTAGGTAAATGCACTCTACCGGACGACGGTGCATTAATATTACATTTCTAACACCCTCCGCTCTTCTGAAGTAGCGGCTGATAAACATGACTCCCACTAACTAGTGTATTACGAACTCGATCCCCATATTTTTACATTAATAAGAAATCTCATGATTACTTTTGGAATTGGCGACTATACGAATACAAGTAAGTAAAGCATTGGGTAAAGTACTCCAGTTTTTTTATGTCATCAGTTGAGCCACCGCGGTATCGGTCTCTCTTGTTCCTTGTCCTGCTTAGAAATTTCAAACAAGAATAATTATTAAGTTGCGGTCAAATGTAAATTCATTTTGTGGTTAATAATAATTACATCATTCTTTCATGTGTGTAGATATTTCCATCCGTTATTTTATGCCGCTATAAATAAGGTAGGTGTAAAAGTGTACGCTTGCAAATGATATAAATCTTTGAAAATCAATGTTTGTTCGTAATGTAGGCGCTTAACGAGCCGCGAACGGGAGTCCTGAGCGGATCAGCGAATGGAGTGCCTCATGCATAATGTAGCGCCGACAGAGTGTTGTTTTGAAAAGCGTTCTGAATACGTTATTCTTCATCAGGCCAGGTGATGCTGGCACACCTCATGAAACATTTAACGACATATCAATTCCACTTATGAATTCGGCACGGGCGAAATAATCGTCGGTGTTGCGAGCGCGGATAAACCTAAAGTCGCTGTTACAAACACGCTATTCCACAAATAAATTGTTAGAAATATAAAACTATAAAAAAGTTTATTTTTTTATCTTAGTCATAGACATTATTAACGTTCAAGATGGCCTGCAATGCTTTAATAACTGCCTTTAAATTATGCTATAAGAAGTACTGTGTTTGTATGCAGTTGACTGCTATTTATCTTATGAGATTTTCATTATTACTTACTTTTTATTTTGCATATTTATGACATCTTTGCCTTGTCTAATGTATTATAATAAAGACATAAATTTATAGTATGAACTTTTAATTTAGGATCACTGAGCACCATAGCGTCAAGGCTGAAAAGGATGGTTCATCATATCGCCGATATCAAGGGCATAATTTATATGGGTGGCACAACTAAAACACTAAAATTATTTTAGCAAAAGTAACAACCCTTAGGGATATCAGTAGAGTACCTCTTGCGCAATCACGTATAGTTCCAGATCTGCCGAATTTATTACAACGTCGCCATGTCATTTCTGAATAAATATTTATTTGTGACCTATTTCGCCGATGGTCTTTCAAGCAATAGGTACGTAAGTCTCTGTCACTTTGCATAAAACGCGCATATAAACGTGAAGAGAAACAAGTGTGGAAACAAACCGAGGGTTATTTTCACTCACATCTCCACACTATACAGATTACATAAGTAATGTGTTAAATTCTTAGGTTTGTCTATTATCTACACTAAAATATCTTTATTATTTTAAAATTGTTTGTAGTTGCAAAATGCTGGTACAGAATAGAAATTTCTGAAGTTTGAAAAAGGCACCTTTAACTTTAAAACATAGATAACTGGCACCTCAGAATTAATTAATCCACTTGGAGATTGCATCTAAAGACCCCCGCTCCGGCAGTGCCCCGTACCCCGCTCAGGGTCGATCCGTTTCCAGCCACTTAAACTTCACGCGGCGCGCCCTAGCTTCCGTTTTAATTACAAAATTAATTCAAAATGTAATTAAAGTTAACAATAAGGCAGCTAACAATTGAAGTTATTTATGTTTGTTTATACTTAGTTATTAAGGTTTTAAATGAATCGCGATTGCACTCTTCATTCGTCTATCTCCAATCTGTTTGTCAACATTTTACCTCGACTTACAATGTTGACGTATTCCCGGTGAAGGAAAATATCGTGAAATCGTGATGCAACTTGCACATATCTGCGGAGAAATTCAAAGATGTGTGTAAAGTCAATCAACTGGCAGTAGGCCAGCGTGATTTACTATGACCTAGTCACTCCTACTATAGGGTAAGGGCCGAGCCCCGTTAGTGCGAACGTATAGTGAGATAATGTTAATGATAATGTTGACCATCCTTAAGTCCGTTATTATGTTAGGGTATACGAAAAAATAATAAATATTAGACAAGTGAACTTTGTAGAAATTTTTAATTAAACTAATAAATTTTAAATGTTAGGTTTATCAAAACTCGTTATCAGTGCAATAGTGTTAGCCGGCGAAGCTTGGTCACAATGTACACTCATCCACTCTACACCGCTACACAGGCAATAAAGCTCAGTTCAAAAGCACTTAACGAGATTGATTCAAACCATTTACCATTCTTTAAACAAACACAAAAACCTTTCCATTACCGTAAATTATAAAACCTTTTAGCAAATCGAAACTGAAGGAATGAGTCGGTCACATAAAGCTAAAATTGTTGAATAGATAATAAAGTCATGCCAATTTATTCATATGTAATTTAAAAGAAAAACATTGTTTTATTTGATTTAAAAGTAATAACAGGAATAAAGACAAATCCTTTAAAGAGTGCCAAATAATAAGAAAAATTGACCTAGCGAAATATGAATATGACAAAGTTATTTTATAAACCCCTTCTCCAAAATTACTGTTTATAATTTTACTTTAACTAACATGTATTTTATACCAAGATGTGAGCATAGTCTTCCATTTTAATTTAAGTATTAATAATGCGAGCAGGTACTAAAAAAATAACACCAATCGAGTTTAGGAGACGTCGTCCATCAAAGTTACACCATTGTAGGAGATGTTAGGAGATACGCTGGAAAGGAGCCAGTCGAGGCAAATCAACCTTTCCAGGTGAAATCTTATTCACACCGACCACAATCGTAAGACACACCGGACTGACTTAGAGAGAGAATGTGAGCAAGCAAAAATCAGTTTTAATCGATTTCAATAAATAATGATGACATCATCAAGAAAAATGGAAAACATTGAACACTGCCGGGAAAATATTATTATGAATCTGTTATTTATTCTACAGACCTACACATTTTTATGATACGTCAAATGTCGATGTCATTTTGACACATGACAGTTTTAGCGCCAATATTTTAATGTACCCAAAATATAGCAAGATAATAAGAATAACACGCTCTATGTACCTATTCGTGTAGGAACGTGTTTAGCTATTAAAGTGTTTCGCAATATTTTATGTTAACACAAAGGATTAAGATTATACAGATCTTTTACTATGCCAACGACTAGGAAGAAAGTTATCAAAACTGTCTATAAAGATGACGATGATAGTGAAGATTTGGGAGGCGATTTTAGCGATTCCGGCTCCGATGCCAAAATTTCACCAGCTCCTAGTTCTGATGAGAGTATTAATGAGGAAGAAAACTGTCCATCGTCGGACGATGATGTCCACAAAAAGCCACAGAAAGTCTCGAAAACTAATCGAAAAAAGAATCCACAATTTGCCAAAGCTTTTATCAGTAAAATAAACAAACAAATCTGCGCTGAAGACGATGAACCATTGCCTGAGTCTACTTTTACAATTAAAGATTTAACGGAAGCTGATAAATTATTACCTTCAGTACTTAATTTATCAGAGAGTGGTAAGCATTTAATTTTAAAAAATATCAATATTATTTTCTATGACTATAAGTGTTCTTGGTCTATAATTCTACATATAATTTCCAGACAGCAGTGATGAAGATGATCCTAAGCCAAAAATAAAAAAGAAATATCATACAGAAACATTAGCAAATGAAAATCCAGACAATGATGATAATAATGCTGGTATTGAATATAAAGATGTTAGTAGTTTTATTTTATTAAAAGATATAAAAAACAAAGTGAGCGAGTGAAAGAATGTAAGTGTTGTATTGTTGACTAAATATTTTGTTAATTTTTAGCAATCGCTAATTGAATTTTACCAATGTTTTTCTATCCAAGTTATGTGTTTATATTTACTTGCATTAACTTTACTTTTACTTATATTATAAATGTGAAAGTTTAGATGGTTGGATGCATGTGTGTTAGAGTTTGAACCATAAACGGCTGTATGGATCTTAATGAAATTTGGCATAGATTTAGTTAATAGCCTGGAAAAACTCATAGGTTACTTACTTTTGTTTTCTCCAATATCCATGCAGATGGAGGCACAAGCCAGTGATAGCATTATAAGTTAATATCAACTTAAATACTATCAACATAGTACTAATAACTTATTTATTACAATATTAGTAATATAGTTGGATTTTTCAAATATCAACAATATTCTTTATAAATTTCCCATTATTCATGACTTAATTTGACAAGAGAACAGTCACATAATAAAAATATGTGAATGTTATGTGTTCGGTGAGCGCCCAATACCAAATTAAAGGATAAACCAGTATGAATATTATGTTAACAGGTATGGTCTGTTAATGAAAAAGATGAGAGTGAAGAAATTGCAAAGAAAACATTTTTAGAATTGGAACAGCATAAAGCTAAAATTGAAGAAGCCAAAATGTCAGTTTTAAAGTATTCATCACACAAGGATGAACAGATATCAGATGTTAAAGATTTACTGGCACTTGGAGAAGAGATAGAACCAGAAGTAGGGACAATCATCAAAAAGAAAAAGAAAGTACAAGAACAAAGTGATTCAGAGGTAGAAGATTGGGAAGAAGTAAATGGTAAAGTTATGAAAATTGCTTATAGTTTCATTTCTAAATAAATTGTATTTTTCACTCAGTATTTAATGGGTATTTAAATCTAATTTTTAAACACTTACTAATACTTTAAAACAGTCTCAATTTCACAATTGTATAGACTTATGAAGTTACAACATCTTGTTAAAAATAATAATGTCATTTTCAGAGAGCAAACCTATACCTCAACAAGGAATACAACTAATTGTAGATATACCAAATTCAGTATCAAGAAAAACTAAAAATATTGATATTGAAATGATGATGAAAAGAAAAATGAATAGAGCAAAGAAAGAGTGTCAAGTATACATGCACAAAGTTCATGTGCTATGTTGGCTCGGTTATGGAAATTACATTAGTACTGTATTAAATGACCAGGAAGTTATGTCTACAGCGTTATCACTATTGCAAAATACAAAATCCAAGGAATGTTATCCCAGTCAGAAGGTTAACAAGAAAAATGTAGACAAAACACCGACTTTTACTGAAAATAATACAAATTTCTATCCCGGTCAAAGAGTTGACATGAAATATGTAGAACAAATAACCTCTTGGTATCAAAACAAATTGATCTTAAGAAAAGATAAACATGAAAATAAGTTTAGACCAAAAGCACCAAAACTAAAGGAAATACTAATTCAACAAATAAAAAATAGGATTGTAACATCAAAAAAATATCTTGTTTATGTATTTGTTGCTATGTTGAGATCACTTGGTCTTCACTGCAGGGTGATGTTAAATTTTGTAACAGTACCTTTAAAGCCTTCTGTTTATGACCTTCAATCAACATCAAAAAAGAGTACAGATAAAAATAATAGTGGTAAAGATGCAAGTAAAGATAAAAATACGACAGCATCGTGTCCCGCAAAGACATACACTAAAAAGAAAATTCCACAATTAGATGGAAACTATGATTGCAGTACTGATAGTGATAGTGATATTAGTAATATTATGCAAGTAGATGGCAATGATGATAAATTGCCACGTATCACAAGGTCAACAAGAAGAAATACAGCAGAAGTAAACCTAAATAAACAAGTGGTAAACACTGAAACTACTTCCAAAATAATGCAGGTAGATGGCAACAATGATGAAATAACTCCTAAAACGAGATCGTCAAGAAAGGCTATGTCAAAAGAAAATGAAAAGATTGCAAAAGAAACGGAAGGTGCATCGCCACCAAAGAAAGCTAAACAAAGCGGAGATAATATTTCAGAACAAGTTACCACTAAGAGTAAATTATCGCTTAATTTGGATCGTAAACGGAAAGGCAAGAATATCAAGTCTGGTAGCAATTTAGAGGTGCCAGAGATTAAAGAAACTAGTGGAGGAAATAAAGAAGTAACAGCAAGTACGTTTTTTGTTGGAGATGAAAAGCCTAAAACACGATCAACTAGAAAAAGATCAGCAACAACGAATTCACGCACATCTAACGATACAGTACAGGAAGTACCTAAGAAAACAACACAAGCGAAAGCGAGAGCAAAGAGTACACCTGTAAGAAATGTCGATTCAAGTAAATCAAATGAAAATTTATCAGTGTCTGCAAGCAAAAAACCCAGGAGTTCCTCTACTATAGAAGAGAAAAATATGAAACTCTTGAAACCAAAAGGTATGGTAGATGATCTTCTGAAATGAATTTAGTATCATTATTGCTTTGTTTGTAATTTACAGCAAATTTATCACAAAAAAAAACTATTTCCATTTTGAATTTCAGATGTTACTGATAATAAAGATTATTTGATAGAAGAAGATAAAAAACCCCAACAATCGGATAGCGATGATGACTTCAAAGTTGTAAAATTGAGCACGACGTATGCAAGAAGTCCTAAGAAAACCAATAACGCAAAACAGAAAGAGAAACTTCCCACACAAGATATTAAAAATGATCAAAATAAATACAACAAAAAAGCAGAAACAAATAGTGCCGTTATAGCAGTTAAAACCAGATCGACTAGGACTAGTAGGAATACTAAAACTGTACCAAAAATAGAAGTTTCCACTGAAAATAAAGAAATAACAGCAAGTGAGTTTTTTACTGGTGAAAACGCAGCCACAAATGTTAATAAAACAAAATTATCAAGAAAAAGAACAACAACCTCTAATTCAACAACAAATGAGACAGTAAAGACAGAATTAACCGAAAAAAGATCAAAACCAAGGGCTAAAAGTAGCCCATCTAGAAGTGCTAATACAAGTAAATATTTCAAAGATGACACATCTTCGGGAAAAGTTAAAAATGTCAAAGATGAAAATGATTTAGAAGATGGACAAAGAGTAAGTCACAAAGATCTATTAAAACAAAAAACTAAAGCTAAAAACGATGTAACTTCAGACTTAGTGGACATTATTAAAAATAGAGTGAAAGAAGCAAAAGCTGAGTCAAAGAAAAATAAAGTGAAAGGTAGGTAAGGTTAAAATAAATGATTTTTGATATTTAAGTAAATTCAAAGATTATAATATAAAATGTATAGCATTATTATTCAATGTATTATATTAGAAAATAAAAGTTCATCTTTTGATTTCATATTTTGTCCAAATAATAAACAAAAAAAAATGTTAGTATTACATTCATATCCATTGATCATGTAAATTTAAAAAATTACTTGTATCATTCAAACTGTGCACTTATATAATTAAACGGAACAAATTCAGGAACTACTAAAGATTCGGACGAAGATAGTGATCATTTACCCGAAGTTATCAAACCTCGTGAGACCATCGATGATGACTTTAAAGCTGTCAAGATAAGTCCCAAGCCGGGTCCATCCCGCAGGATAGACCGCAGAGTGCTGTCTGGAGATGATGAAGTTCTTCCCGACAGGATTGATGTGTGGTGTGAAGTATTTGTTGAGGAACTTGAAGAATGGGTGGCTGTCGATGTTACTCGAAATAAAGTACATTGTACCAACGAGATTTATGTAAGTAAACATGCAACACAAACTACTTTCCAGTTAAAACAATAGAATAACTAAAAATAATATTTTTTCTGTTTCAGTCGAAGGCTACCCATCCAGTAGCTTATGTTGTTGGCTGGGACAACAATAATTATTTGAAGGATCTAACAAGAAGATATGTTCCACATTGGAACACAATCACCCGTAAGCAAAGGGCAGAGTTGTCCTGGTGGAACACAGCGGTAGCTCCGTGGTTGGGACCTAAAAATGCTCGAGATAAGGAAGAAGATGAGCGTCTTGATAGACTACAGCTAGAGGCACCACTACCAACGAAAATTACTGAGTTAGTTTCACATCGGATTTTTGTATTAAATTACATGTTTTTGCCAATACAGTACAATATTAGCTTTCAAAATCAGCGCTGGAATAATGACGACATTAATGGCGCTAGTGAGATTACATAGACAATACCAGGCTTCTGAATAATTGTACTGGCTGAATATAAATCGAACATTGGTTGCTCAGGAGTTTACGCACTTGACTTGTAATCACCAGATACTGGGTTCAAATCCCGCCATTTCCAATGTGATTATCGAA